TAAATGAACTTATGAACCTGACGAAGAGATTGCAATTTTGTGAAGCTGTCCAGCGTTTGATAAATTTCTACCATGGAAATTACACGAACGTTTAAACTAGTTATATTAAAATTTCAGAAAAGTTTTTTTTTAAACAACTTATGTCCAAATGAGTTTATATAAATTAAATTAAAAAATTGAAAACTGAGATCAACTTTTTCGTTTGGAGAAAGACAAACTAAATTCGATATGATTTATTTTATTTTTAATCAACTTTCTGCACGTACTATCTTCTGAGTACTAATTTTTTCTTTTTCTATCTACTTATTTATTCGTGCAATTTTATATAATTAATTTAGAAGTTTAAAAAAAGAATTTTTTTTTGAGAGTGTCATAAATGTTCAATGAGTTGTAAACATATTTATATTTCTGTTTCGAATTCTATCGCATATTACTGATGTATTTTTCTATCTACTTATTTATTCGTGCAATTTTATATAATTAATTTAGAAGTTTCAAAAAAAAATTTTTTTTTGACAGCAAATAAACGTCGCTCGTTTACAAGAGTCGTGAAAGATTAATTGGAACCATCTTGTCAAGAGAAGCCTCTATGTTTTGTACTTGAGAAGAGCATTAAATGCAGTCCGACTTGAATACGTTGGAAGACAATTAACAGTTAACTTCGTTTAGATTTATCTCATAATTGCTATTAAAATTATGGACTTAGATCCTCTTGACAAAATTGAAATCTTAACTAACAAATACTTTCAATCTTAGACAATGAATTTTCAATGAAATTAAATTAGGATGAGCTGGAAATTAGAATCTTGAAGGGGGTTTGCTCGTCCCACCGCAGCGCCATCTTAGTATGCGCCATGTAGTCGTACTTAGGACTTAGATCCTCTTGATAAAATTGAAATCTTAACTAACAAATACTTTCAATCTTAGACAATGAATTTTCAATGAAATTAAAGTAGGATGAGCTGGAAATTAGAATCTTGAAGGGGGTTTGCTCGTCCCACCGCAGCGCCATCTTAGTATGCGCCATGTAGTCGTACTTAGGACTTAGATCCTCTTGATAAAATTGAAATCTTAACTAACAAATACTTTCAATCTTAGACGATGAATTTTCAATGAAATTAAATTAGGATGAGCTGGAAATTAGAATCTTGAAGGGGGTTTGCTCGTCCCACCGCAGCGCCATCTTAGTATGCGCCATGTAGTCGTACTTAGGACTTAGATCCTCTTGATAAAATTGAAATCTTAACTAACAAATACTTTCAATCTCAGACGATGAATTTTCAATGAAATTAAATTAGGATGAGCTGGAAATTAGAATCTTGAAGGGGGTTTGCTCGTCCCACCGCAGCGCCATCTTAGTATGCGCCATGTAGTCGTACTTAGGACTTAGATCCTCTTGATAAAATTGAAATCTTAACTAACAAATACTTTCAATCTCAGACGATGAATTTTCAATGAAATTAAATTAGGATGAGCTGGAAATTAGAATCTTGAAGGGGGCTTGCTCGTCCCACTGCAGCGCCATCTTAGTATGCGCCATGTAGTCGTACTTAGGACTTAGATCCTCTTGATAAAATTGAAATCTTAACTAACTAATACTTTCAATCTTAGACAATGAATTTTCAATGAAATTAAATTAGGATGAGCTGGAAATTAGAATCTTGAAGGGGTTTTGCTCGTCCCACCGCAGCGCCATCTTAGTATGCGCCATGTAGTCGTACTTAGGACTTAGATCCTCTTGACAAAATTGAAATCTTAACTGACAAATACTTTCAATCTTAGACGATGAATTTTCAATAAAATTAAATTAGGATGAGCTGGAAATTAGAATCTCGAAGGGGGTTTGCTCGTCCCACCGCAGCGCCATCTTAGTATGCGCCATGTAGTCGTACTTAGGACTTAGATCCTCTTGACAAAATTGAAATCTTAACTGACAAATACTTTCAATCTTAGACGATGAATTTTCAATAAAATTAAATTAGGATGAGCTGGAAATTAGAATCTTGAAGGGGGTTTGCTCGTCCCACCGCAGCGCCATCTTAGTATGCGCCATGCAGTCGTACTTAGGACTTAGATCCTCTTGATAAAATTGAAATCTTAATTAACAAATACTTTCAATCTTAGACGATGAATTTTCAATGAAATTAAATTAGGATGAGCTGGAAATTAGAATCTTGAAGGGGGTTTGCTCGTCCCACCGCAGCGCCATCTTAGTATGCGCCATGTAGTCGTACTTAGGACTTAGATCCTCTTGACAAAATTGAAATCTTAACTGACAAATACTTTCAATCTTAGACGATGAATTTTCAATAAAATTAAATTAGGATGAGCTGGAAATTAGAATCTTGAAGGGGGTTTGCTCGTCCCACCGCAGCGCCATCTTAGTATGCGCCATGCAGTCGTACTTAGGACTTAGATCCTCTTGATAAAATTGAAATCTTAACTAACAAATACTTTCAATCTTAGACGATGAATTTTCAATGAAATTAAATTAGGATGAGCTGGAAATTAGAATCTTGAAGGGGGTTTGCTCGTCCCACCGCAGCGCCATCTTAGTATGCGCCATGCAGTCGTACTTAGGACTTAGATCCTCTTGATAAAATTGAAATCTTAACTAACAAATACTTTCAATCTTAGACAATGAATTTTCAATGAAATTAAATTAGGATGAGCTGGAAATTAGAATCTTGAAGGGGGTTTGCTCGTCCCACCGCAGCGCCATCTTAGTATGCGCCATGCAGTCGTACTTAGGACTTAGATCCTCTTGATAAAATTGAAATCTTAACTAACAAATACTTTCAATCTTAGACGATGAATTTTCAATGAAATTAAATTAGGATGAGCTGGAAATTAGAATCTTGAAGGGGGTTTGCTCGTCCCACCGCAGCGCCATCTTAGTATGCGCCATGCAGTCGTACTTAGGACTTAGATCCTCTTGATAAAATTGAAATCTTAATTAACAAATACTTTCAATCTTAGACGATGAATTTTCAATGAAATTAAATTAGGATGAGCTGGAAATTAGAATCTTGAAGGGGGTTTGCTCGTCCCACCGCAGCGCCATCTTAGTATGCGCCATGTAGTCGTACTTAGGACTTAGATCCTCTTGATAAAATTGAAATCTTAACTAACAAATACTTTCAATCTTAGACGATGAATTTTCAATGAAATTAAATTAGGATGAGCTGGAAATTAGAATCTTGAAGGGGGTTTGCTCGTCCCACCGCAGCGCCATCTTAGTATGCGCCATGTAGTCGTACTTAGGACTTAGATCCTCTTGATAAAATTGAAATCTTAACTAACAAATACTTTCAATCTTAGACAATGAATTTTCAATGAAATTAAATTAGGATGAGCTGGAAATTAGAATCTTGAAGGGGGTTTGCTCGTCCCACCGCAGCGCCATCTTAGTATGCGCCATGTAGTCGTACTTAGGACTTAGATCCTCTTGATAAAATTGAAATCTTAACTAACAAATACTTTCAATCTTAGACAATGAATTTTCAATGAAATTAAATTAGGATGAGCTGGAAATTAGAATCTTGAAAGGGGTTTGCTCGTCCCACCGCAGCGCCATCTTAGTATGCGCCATGTACTCGTACTTAGGACTTAGATCCTATTGATAAAATTGAAATCTTAACTAACAAATACTTTCAATCTTAGACAATGAATTTTCAATGAAATTAAATTAGGATGAGCTGGAAATTAGAATCTTGAAGGGGGTTTGCTCGTCCCACCGCAGCGCCATCTTAGTATGCGCCATGTAGTCATGCTTAGGCGTATGCTTATTTGAGTCTGTATTTTTTATGCTTATTACTTATTATATATCTGTATTATGTGTGATAACTAAATATATATTGAGTTATGTGTGCAAGTGGAATTATTCAAAACCCCAACATTAATTCTATCGCATATTACTGATGTATTGAAAGTTTTTGTTTCATCCACGTTGCTGCTGTCTCCATTTTATAAATGCTAAACGCAGAATCGTGTTTGCCAATATGGCATGGTTTCCATAAAATCAGCAGTTATTTCGTTATCGTCGAGTAACAATCTGTCAGAAGAATTTCTTCTTGGTCGATAAATCAGAAAAGTTGAGAGTCGCATGGTCCGTTAAACGCGTTTAACTTCGCGGCGAACATCGCAAACGGCATTAAAAGACCTATTAGTCTGGCCGGGGGTGACGAAACATGTTCGAGGATTTGGCAACGATTCCTTTTACTACGTTCGGACTATACAGTCCGCGACAAGAAGATGGGTAATCTTTGTCCGTGGATGGGGCTCGTTGGATTTTATTCACCTCACGATCCTTGCAACGCCATAATATATGTATAATTTCACCCCGTGACTTATGATATTTTCAAACATACGACTCAAGGAATTTTTACTTAAACTTTGACGCAGTTATTATATAATTACACGAAAATTCTGGAGCAAATGAGACAACCTAGTACAATTTAGTGCAATAAAGTCGTCGAATAAATGCATAAATAGATACAATAAACATTTTATATGGGTCTCGATGGATTTTATTCACCTCACGTTGCTTGCAACGCCATAATATATGTATAATTTCACCCTCTGACTTATGATACCTATTCAAACATACGACTCAAGGAATTTGTACTTAAAGGGAGGAGTCTCATGTGAGACCTCAAAAATATCAATTTTTTTTTACTTCATTTTTTGAAAGTATATATATTTAAGTGATGATAAATTTTGAGAGATAAATGTCAAGTATTGTGGATTGTAGAACACTTTTTGTATAACCCTAGCAGTAATTACCGGAGTCATTGCTTTGGGTGATTACCATGCACAGCCCAGACATTACTGTTTCGAAAGGTTTATGGCAAGATCAATGTCATATTCGTTCAGAAAATGTTATATTCGTGCAACACTTTTAAAGTGACGATCTCACAGTTTTCGAATTTTACGGGAATCGCAGTCGTAAGATTGCCCCTTCGTTCGAAAGGAACTTGCTAAAAAACGAGAGTACTTACGTCGCCCTTTTCTGGAACGTATTTGGCCAGCCAGCCCCACAGGACACCGAATCCTAAGCCTCCGATAATGGCGATGGGGCCTTGGAGGATTTGGTACCATAGCGCATCATGGGAGAACATGATACTCTTCACGATTCCGTGGATCGCCACTGACGCTGCGTCATCGATCCCAGAAATAGCAATGATTAACGTCGGAATGCCCTGAAAAAAATAGGTCGAATTTATTGAACAAATTACTTGATAAACTGTTTCGTTAACGATGAGCATTACGATATTACTGGCGTTGATATTAGCTTTAATATTTCTGCTTCGTTTCATTCTTTCTATAAAGGGTGTCCGGCCAACCCTGAGAAAAATTTTAATGGGAGATTCTACAATCCAAAATAAGACGAAAATCAAGAATACCAATTTGTTGATGGAGGCTTTGTTAAAAAGTTATTAACAAATTAAATTCAAAAATTTCAAATCATTCACGGAAAAATTATTTTCGGTTGCGGGGGTTAATTATAATCATTTTTGGTGAATACACATACCTCCGAAATCCTATTCACTTTCGAGAAAAAAATTCAAGTAGGTACTGAAATTATTAGACGAAATTAAAATATTTAAAATCATACTAAAAAAATTATATTTAGTTACAAGGGGCAATTACGATCATTTTTAGTCATTACAGATACCCCCAAAATCCTACGCATTTTCGAGAAATAAATTCCTTACTGAAAATCTAATTAGGTGCCTAAATTTTTCGACAAAAAAAACTTTCAAACAGTTCTAGAAAAATTATTTTCGATTGCGGGGGTTAATTACAATCATTTTTGGTGAATAGACATACCCTTGAAATTTTGCGCATTTTCGAGAAAAAAATTCGAGTAAATACTGAAATTTGTTGGCGAAATTAAAAAATTTCAAATTATTCTAAAAAAATTATTCTTGGTTGCAGGGGTTAATTACAATCACTTTTTGTCATTAGACAAACCTTCGAATTCCTACGCATCTTCGAGAAAAAAATTCAGTACTGAAAATATAATGTCTAATCATAACTGTCTGTTACCCTGAAAATTGAAAACTTTCAAATCATTCTAAAAAAATTATTTTTGGTTGAGGGAGTGAGTTACAATAATTTTTGGTGAAGGGACACACCCCCGAAATCCTATCCACTTTCAAGAAAAAAATTCGTTAAAAGAAATATAATGTCTGATCGGGAAAGAATGATTCCCCTGAAATTTCATGTGTTTCAAATCGTTCTGGAAAAATTATTTTCATTTACAGAGGTCAATTACAATTATTTTTGACGAATACACATAGCCCCGAAATCCTACACACTTTCGAGAAAAAAATTCGAGAAAGTACTAAAATTTTTTGGCGAAATTAAAAAAATTTCAAATTATTCTAAAAAAATTATTCTTGTTTGCAAAGGTTAATTACAATCACTTTTGGTCATTAAACATACCTCCGAATTCCTACGCATTTTCGAGAAAAAAATTCATTACTGAAAATATAATGTCTAACCATAACTGAAAATTGAAAAGTTTCAAATCATTCTACAAAAATTATTTTTGGTTGTAGGGGGCAGTTACAATCATTTTTCGTGAATAGACATACCCTCGAAATCTTGCGCACTTTCGAGAAAAAAATTCGAGAATGTACTGAAATTTTTTGGCGAAATTAAAAAATTTCAAATTATTCTAAAAAAATTATTCCCGGTTGCAGGGGTTAATTACAATCACTTTTTGTCATTAGACATACATCCAAATTCCTATGCATTTTCGAGAAAAAAATTCATTACTGAAAATATGATGTCTAACCATACCTGAAAATTGAAAAGTTTCAAATCATTCTACAAAAATTATTTTTGGTTGTAGGGAGCAATTACAGTCATTTTTGGTGAATAGACATACCCTCGAAATCCTATTCACTTTCTAGAAAAAAAATCGAGAAGGTGTGAAATTTTTCGACGGGAAAAAAAAATTTCAAATCGTTTTGGAAAAATTATTTTCGGTTGCGGGGGTCAATTGCAATCATTTTTCGTGAATAGACATACCCCCGAAATTTTGCGCATTTTGGAGAAAAAAATTAAGTACGTGGGGAACTTTAAACGTTAATAACTTTTTAACGAAGCCTCAATCAACAAATTGGTATTCTTGATACTGTTTTAACTCAAAATAATAATCCTATAAACGAAACCGTATTTTCATAAATATATTAATTACGACATTTCAACAATGGTGAGATTTTGGGAGAAAAATGGTTAATAAAAATATTTAATGTAAATAAATAATTTCTTTATAATATATAAAGAAGTATACTTTATAGTAATATGTTTACACTAAATAAAGAAGGATATATTTCTCGACGACGAGAGTTTTTCCTTTTTACTCTTAACAAGTTCGATTAGTTCTGAGAGCTGAACGAGGGGAGAACTCGAAGGTGAAATTTGAAAGAAATTTCGATTCCGCAGAAATTCAAAGCGAAACAATAACACGTAGCGGGGCGAAATTGAATCGGAAAAGGGTCCGTTAGCAAAGGAAAATTACCGGAAAGAGTTATTAAGCGTTCGCAGAGAGCAATCTTCCTTCCGAATTCGATCGTTACGAAAGACTTTTCCGTGTTTCCTAACGTTTTCTCGTACTTTTCTTATTTCCCTCGGACAGGTACAACATCCGTGATTCGCGGAAACTTCATTATCGAGTGCAATCAGATTTCTTCGAAGGAAACTTCAAAACCATCGGGCGGAAACTTCGCCTGGAACGTTCTCGAGGGCAGTAAAAATAATCTGAAGGCCAGAGAAATTGGTAGACAGGGGGCGACGCGTCGGGAGAAGAGAGAATTATAAAGGAAAGGATCTAACGAGAACGACGACAGCCGGGAACCGATAGCTTCGAAAAGCTATCAGGCAACGATAGCTCGTGCGGGATTTAAGTCTGCCGACTATCGTGATTCTACGATTGGTCGAATCAAACTGCAACTCCGGGAAAGAGGTCCCTGGGTAAACGTTCGAGATTGTCAGCGGTTCGTACGACGCCCTGTTTCGTCGTACGTTTTTTGTATCGACAAGCATTCACTTTCCCGTCCACTTTACTGATATAACTTTTCTATGCGTGGCCCACATTCGACGCGCCAAAGACCAACGATAGAAATACCCGCGCCATTTTTCATCATTCCGACCATTCCACTCGCTTTTAAACGGATTTAGGGTTATGATTCGTAAAATGATTACGTGATTCGTAAATTGTACATTTCAGAACAGATAGAAATACTCGCGCCATTTTTCATCATTCCGACCATTCCACTCGCTTTTAAACGGTTTTAGCGTTATGATTCGTAAAATGATTACGTGATTCGTAAATTGAACATTTCAGAACAGATAGAAATACTCGCGCCATTTTTCATCATTCCGACCATTCCACTCGCTTTTAAACGGTTTTAGGGTTATGATTCGTAAAATGATTACGTGATTCGTAAATTGAACATTTCAGAACAGATAGAAATACTCGCGCCATTTTTCATCATTCCGACCATTCCACTCGCTTTTAAACGGTTTTAGGGTTATGATTCGTAAAATGATTACGTGATTCGTAAATTGTACATTTCAGAACAGATAGAAATACTCGCACCATTTTTCATCATTCCGACCATTCCACTCGCTTTTAAACGGTTTTAGGGTTATGATTCGTAAAATGATTACGTGATTCGTAAATTGAACATTTCAGAACAGATAGAAATACTCGCGCCATTTTTCATCATTCCGACCATTCCACTCGCTTTTAAACGGTTTTAGGGTTATGATTCGTAAAATGATTACGTGATTCGTAAATTGTACATTTCAGAACAGATAGAAATACTCGCGCCATTTTTCATCATTCCGACCATTCCACTCGCTTTTAAACGGTTTTAGGGTTATGATTCGTAAAATGATTACGTGATTCGTAAATTGAACATTTCAGAACAGATAGAAATACTCGCGCCATTTTTCATCATTCCGACCATTCCACTCGCTTTTAAACGGTTTTAGGGTTATGATTCGTAAAATGATTACGTGATTCGTAAATTGTACATTTCAGAACAGATAGAAATACTCGCGCCATTTTTCATCATTCCGACCATTCCACTCGCTTTTAAACGGTTTTAGGGTTATGATTCGTAGAATGATTACGTGATTCGTAAATTGAACATTTCAGAACAGATAGAAATACTCGCGCCATTTTTCATCATTCCGACCATTCCACTCGCTTTTAAACGGTTTTAGGGTTATGATTCGTAGAATGATTACGTGATTCGTAAATTGAACATTTCAGAACAGATAGAAATACTCGCGCCATTTTTCATCATTCCGACCATTCCACTCGCTTTTAAACGGTTTTAGGGTTATGATTCGTAAAATGATCACGTGATACGTAAATTGTACATTTCAGAAGAGTTAGCTATCGGGTAGCTTTTTAGTTTTCATTTCATTGGTTTAGTTTCAATGTCATTGTACATATAGTCAACTTATTATGTTTGTTAAGATATTATGTTGTACTGAAAGCAACAAGATTATGTTGAATAATAATAGTGCCACTGTCGACGTTCTAGTTGTATTCAAATAAAATTGGTAACAACATTGTGGATAATTATTGATTCACCATCGTGCAGTAATGATTCGTAAAATGATTACGTGATTCGTAAATTGAACATTTGTATCCTCCATACGTAATTTCGCCAGTTAGCTATCGGCTAGCTTTTTAGTTTTTATTTCATTGACTTTAGTTTCAATGTCATTGTACATATTGTCAATTTATTATGTTTGTTAAGATTTTATATTGTATTAATAGCAACAGGATTATGTTGAATAATAATAGTGCCACTGTCGACGTTCTAGATGTATTCAAATTAAATTGGCAACAGCATTGTAGATTATTATTGACCAATTATCACCATCGTACAGTAATGATTCGTAAAATGATTACGTGATTCGTAATTTGAACATTTATATCCTCCATACGTAATTTCGCCAGTTAGCTATCGGCTAGCTTTTTAGTTTTTATTTCATTGACTTTAGTTTCAATGTCATTGTACATATTGTCAACTTATTATGTTTGTTAAGATTTTATGTTGTACTAAAAGCAACAGGATTATGTTGAATAATAATAGTGCCACTGTCGACGTTCTAGTTGCATTCAAATAAAATTGGTAACAACATTGTGGATAATTACTGATTCACC